TTATGTCAAGCGCACTAAAATCTAGTGAATGGGGTTCCATATTCATGAAAAGCCAGGTTTGAAATGATCCATGTTACGGAACCAAGATAACCTATCTTACTAATAATTAGAAAGGGTTAAGGGCCTCCAACATTCGACCAAGAAGGCATTCTGGTAGGAAGGCCGACCACTTTCCGCATTCAGTTCTAGCTATTTCTGCACCTTCTAATCGACCTGAATCTCTCTACCCAGCTCCTCGTCTAGCAGCCAAGAACAAAAGAGCTACAACACTCAGGTTGTTAAATGATTTAGGATCAGATGAGAAAACCAACCCCTCTCACTTCGTTCGAGCTGAATTACATCCACCCTCTCACGGCCGAAGGCTCCGCAACACGTTGGAGAGCTTTTAGATCCTGACACAAACCCATTTTGAACCTATTGGTCCTAGTATCATAGGCGACCGAACGGCCGCCCCCTGCATTTCCCCAAGGCACTGATATGATGACTCTCTCAATTACATGTGTTTTGGGGAGCTTAAGATAAGGCTAGGCTTTCTCTCATGGACGTTTTTATATTATATTACGATATATGACCGTTCGCCTTTTCATCACTTTTGCCTGGAGCCAGTCTAAGGTGTAGGCTTGCTTCGCATAGGCGCATCTATCTTATTATATTGACGCAATTAGAAGATCAGGATTTCTCCCTGCCGCTCAAGCGGGATCAGATCGGGATTTAGCGAGAACAGCTTTCCATTTCAACGGGATTCTCGTCTCAAGGGCATTTCCGCCAATCACTTTAACAGTGCCAAAATGCCCTATTCCTTTAGTCACTGGAACCGCTGACCCAACTTACAAGGTTGATTCTTGAAGTAGTAGCTCTGGATCGAGAGCTGAAACCGCAGGAAAGAAAGCCCCGGCCTGGTATTTTATTTTGACCGGCAGAAGCTGAACCCGAACCAAACCCTAAGGGTATAATAGGAATGGTGAAATTCTTGCCTTAATGGGGCCTTCTGGCAGTGGGAAAACAACCTTGTTAAAGATATTGAGAGGAAGATTGCAAGAAAATGTCAGAGGATGGGTCCTCGACATCTGAATCAATTCTGAACGAACAGTATCATTTAGACCCTTCTGAAAAATCTACATTACATACTCTTTTTCTATGAGATTTTTGTATTTACATTCCCGTCTCTTAGAAAGAGCGGCTAAACGATCGGACCAGACAGGCACATGTAGCTTGACCGGCTGCTCGCCACAGCAGAGTGCTTTGCCCATGCTGCTATCCGCCGCCGAAGCGCGCTTTCATCTCCTACCACTTTATTTTATACTCTATCCAGAAGATGAGAATTTTTTTTATTTAGATTTAAATCGAACCAGGTCAAAACATTCAGCTGTCGACGGGCAAAGCCGGAACGTCGACCGCAAACGAAGGATGGCCAGGCTCCGTGACGTTCCCAAAGCGATCACTATCCTTTTCTTGATTTCTTCTTGTCTTGAATTTTTATAGAACGGCTTTATATCAGGTATAGTTGGTTAGTGCATAAGCCACTTTAGAGATAGGGGCGGGCAGCAAGGGGTGCTTCAACTGCGATATAGGTAGAAGGAGCTGGTACGGAAAAACCTTCTGTATAAGGTTCGAAATGGTGAATTGAGGTAGAGTAGACCGATGATCCTATAGTCATTTGGCCGGCTATTGAAAGAAAAAGCCACTTGATCACTCCATCTACTTTTAAAGTATACGACTTTCCGCTTGGAAATTATACAACCACCGAACCTTCTTTATCATGATTTGACCCATACCTTAGACCCAAGATCGAGCACCAAGTTGCCTCCCCTCTCTTCTGAGGCCGATCGCATCCACTTTTGGAGCCCCTCTCCTCTGAGGCCGATCGCATCCGCTTTTGGAGCCCCTCGCCTTTGAGTACTGCAGCAGCCCAGAGACAAATGATGAAACTTAAGCAATGCTGCAGAAAAAGAAGATTTGTTGCAATGTAGCTCCATAAGAACCATAAATAGAAACACGTGAAATATTAGCAGAAATAGAGATTTTAGGCGCAATAGAAAGGAATGTTGTAACCGGGGTGGGTGAACCCTCATAGATATCAGGTGCTCCATTGCAGCTTCGTTCATGCGCCAATCAATTGACAGTGAAGCAGAGAAGGAAGATTTTTGATCACCGTGTGGGTAGTCTCTATTAGGGTTTTCGTTTCATGTGCACTAAAAAGAAAGGAAGACTGGTGCGACTATAGTAATGCCAAGCATACGAGAAAAGGTTCAGTCCCAAGCATCTTCGTCAATACTCCATCTGCCCCCCGCCGGGGGGTTAAGGGGGAGGATGTCAAAACCTTACCCATAAAAAAAAAGTACATAGACCTGCTCACAAAGAGCTACAAGACAGCCAAAAACATTACTGCTAATAAAATAAAAGTGAACAAAGCCAAACCAATATGATATTCAATAAGCCCACTTTTCTTTCGATAGAGATACCGAGATTTCTTGCTTACCTACCTTCTGCCCTTATGAAT